GATCAGATCCATCTAGGTGGGTCGGAAAACCCGGATTCTAAACCAATGGTGTACTTGGGTTTTAGGATCCTGAGAGAATAAACGACGTCGGTACCTATTGCTGGTTACAGGTTACAACCAGAAGGTAGCACAATATATGCTTTTACAACGTTGAAACAAATGCACAGAAGTAATCACCTAAGGACTCTAGTTTATTCAAAATGGAAGCCTAGATATTTCCAACCGTTTTGTACAAACTGTGATACGACAGAGAATATCATGATACTTCTTTTCTATGGCTTCTTAATTTGATGAGTACTTTCCGTTTAACATCTCCTTTTGCTTAGGCGACATTAAAAGAAGTAATTGGTCGTTTGCTCGTAATAATTTACATTTCGATTCCTTTATATAACGATGAATTTACTTATATTCTCATGTATTCTGTACTATCTTATTACAATTGTACATAAATCCTCAATAACCACCTCCGAGAATAATCGAAATTTCACCATACTAAGGAAGAGAGAGCTTCTCGATGATCTAGTTTAAACTCTCATTGAAAGTCGTGAACTATGATGTCAGTCATATTCAATGTTGGGTCAGTATTTACTAATAGCCATATTATATCGCGAATTTCCATAAGATTCCTCAAGATCTCATCCCAGCTGTTGAATGTCCACATTTTCTGGGTCCAGCTCGAAAGCTGCTTCGACCTAATCAGAGTGACATGTAACATACTTAAATTAATAAACCTATTGAAGCTGCAGCTTGTGGTTTAATGAATCTAATTTCGAGTCCTTAGACATCTCTGAAAACTGGATCCGTAAGTAGTGCTGTGACAGTTGTCCAACGATTAGAACTAAGTATGAACCAAAACGCAACATTCAAACGATATTGAATCATTCAACCGAGTCTAAATTTCATAGATTTAATGAATGATATGGCGGAGAAAATTTGTAGCTCAGGTGAATGACTGTGGTGGAGTTTCGTTCTCTGAGGTGGATATTTTGGTTGTGGAGCACAAAGAACACTAAAATTTTTAAAACCTTAGCACTCAGGTCAATCAGCACTGAATAAACACATCGACATCAACCTAATTTATCAACCAATCAGCAAACATAGGATCGAGAAACAGAACAAAAGGGGGATACAATCAAAATAAAAGTGGAAACAACAACAGGTTTAAGGTCAATAATAATCAATCGTGATCGAGTTCAACAGAACCGGTTACGGGTCATATTCCGTGGAGAAATTCGAATACTTTACTACTATCTGAAGTTTGTGTTGATGATGTTGTTCAGAAGAATGATGAAAACTCTACAACTAAAACATCCAGCTCAGAGAATGAAACTCCACCACAATTAGCATGTTAGTTTTCTAGGTGAATTTCCATCTTTAATGATTCATCACCAACTTTTATTTTCATGACAAAAAGTTTGTTGAGGGTTAATTATTGAATTATGAAAAAAAATCTAGCCCTAGAAATGTTTATGAATGAAAAACAATGTACCAATGCTACTCTACTCTACAGGTTAGGTATGGTAGATTTGCTTGTGTGCTTTTCATGATTTTATTTATCGAATAAATTGACAATATGAACATAATTTATTGTTACTAAAATTAATATAGTTATTTAAAATTATCGGAAATATACAAACCAAACAAGTACAATTAAATTTATATCTGTATGTATATGCAACTCATTGTTGTTAGAAAATCAATGAACAATGTTCTATTATCGTTTTTTTTTTGAAAAAAATTCAAACAAATACCTATTTGAACAAGATGGTTGATTTACAGGAGAGTTATTTTGTGAACATTGGTTTCACACTAGTTGTTACGTATGAGTCAACTATATTATCTATATTATCAATTGAGAAAATGATTCCATCTAAAGGATTTGAATATGAGTCATTGAACAATATCATGGTTTGAGAAATTAGGGTCGTAACTGACCTCCTGGTTGGGGTCCGAGAGACGAAACTCACCAATGGTTAGAGACCTTGAGTGACATAGCTAAAAATCGTTTGCAATGGCGCAGGTGCATCCACCTGTTGCATTCTCTGAAATTCTAAATCTCCTGAATTGCTCATCAACTTTCTCTTTCTAAAATTATTTCAGTGAATCATACTTCTTGAATGAATTCTTCGAATCCTAATCTTCTCCATTACCGGTAATATTTCTACTATTTTTACCACTACAGGATTTAAATGGACAGTTGTGTGTCTGTGCTAATGTGATATGGCAACATGTACTTATGTGCGCACGTACGAACATCTACGTAGTAACTGACTATTTGTATATGATTGACTTATTAATGAGTAGTGATCAATATTAGGTTAGTCGAATTGTTCTTTTAGGGTTGCTTCACACTGAGTCTAGTGTGAGACAAATGCCCACAGAAGACGATTGTTGAGGTCGCACAATACCGTAGATTGACTGAAGTTAGACATTAGCACCACTGAATGCTAACTCAGTGGTCAAGTGGTTAAACATTCACGCGCGAGACCAAGGACCAGGAGTCCGATTTCTGCGAGCGGGGTGATGGATGCGCAGTGCTGATGATTCCCATACTAGGAGGAAAAGCCCATTCGGTGCTTCCAGGTTTTTAACGGTGGTCTTAACATTCATCAATTCATGACTTTGATGTAAGTTTGTCCACCTGCTTGAATTACATCAAAGATATTTGACAATTTATTGATTAGTGATGAAAAACGTATCCTTATGAGTAGTGATCTGAATCTTGATTTCGATTCGTTCCAAAAGGACGTTTCTGTGATGTATAAATAAACCAGAGTTGTGTGCTTGATTGTACTGTGATTGCTGGGTGTTTATAGAATATACTTTCTACGCTTACAAGCCTTCTATCTTCAGCTTTGGATTCAAGGTAGCCTATCTGGACGCTGATAATTGTCTCGTTCGCCTTTATCGACTAAGGTGAACTCGTAATAGCTTCAAGCGTACCTAGTGACGAACTCTACAGAAAGTCCAGTCAATGTTATCAATTATGAAAATGAATGTTACAAGCGGTTGAGATACGAAGTCAACAACCCGTCAGTTGAAATTATGATCGACAGACTAAACTGTTAGTCGCACATTTATAAATGTGAACTTAAAGCAGTAATGAAAGCTTCATGAATTAAGTATACAATTAAGAGAATGCAAATCCGAATAATACATATATTTCATATATTGTTACATCTTTCACATGAAAAAATATTTATTAACCTAAGGTTGCTCAAACAAAAACGCATTAAACTGTACTATCGTTGAAACTGTATTTCATTGAAACCATAAAACCAATCATTTTAAGACCAAGCATTAGAAACCTACAGTCACTGGACAGACATTTCATTCTAATATGGAACTCGTCGGTTGGACTTATTTACAATCTCGCCACGAGCGAGCATCGAACCGTGGAGCTCATACGCAAATGCCTGACCACTGAACCGGTCATTCAACAGTGTTAGGATATTCATCAAATATCCTAAGAGAATTATTTTTGTAAGTCTGATTCTATTGGTCAATTCCTGCTGGTCAATATTATGGTCGTCCTAGCTATCAGTGTCACATACTTCAGTGTTGTCTCCTATTGGTCGTACTAACTTTCAATGTCACTTCAAATGTTGTTTCCTATTGGTTATCCTAACTGTCAATGTCACATACTTCAATACTGTTTCCTATTCAACTGTATAAATATGCATTATCTGTAACGTTTTTATGACCCGGAACCTTATCCTCTTCGGACCTCGTACTTTCTGGATGCTAGTAGAATACAGGTTCTACTTCAGATCAAGTCTTCTTCTTTTACTCAATGAGTTGTTGGGACAATCGGATTAGAGTAGCCTGTCGTGTCACCGGATCATCGATTCCCGCTCTCGTTTTCTGACTGAGGTAAGTGTTTACGTGCATGCCCAACAAACAGTATCAATGGATAATTCAAAAAATGAAAAAAAAATTAAATCCGTCAAAGTTTTGTGTAATTTATTTTGATCAAGAGAGTAAGACAGAGAGAGAGAGAGTGTGTGTGTGTGTAAGCGAAAAAAAGCCAATACAAACAAAAATTAAAAAAGAAATAAAGAAGACAATGAAAATACTACAACAACAACCACAACAATCAAAAAATGAATTAAGATATCTTTGTGTTTGTTTTATTTTGTTATTCAACTCTCTCTCCCTCCCTCTCACTCTATTAAGTGGATAATAAAAGAAAGAGGAAAAATCAAAAAAGAGATGAATGAGTTTTCAATACAGAAAGCAAGTGACATTCATATATATATGTGTATATATATCATGAATAAAATCAAACTAAACTTGTATCTCTATGCATAGTAATAACAATAGTAATAATAATAGTAATAATAATTATCATTATGATACTTCAAGTACTCGAACAATTTTACATTGGTGTTATTGTTCTATGGAGTAGTTGATAATGGAAGGAAAAACAATGTGATAGATACTCAATACTCGACAAGTACACACACGCATACACGCACACACACACAGACACACAAATATGTACACACACAGACGTATACAGATAATAAAGAGAGTAAGTGAGTGAGTGAGTGAGAGAAACTGTGTATCAAAACCGATACCGAACTCAACACTCAATCTATATAGATAGATAGATAGATAAAGATGAATCAGAGAAAAATAAGCAGGGATAAACAGTAGTAGTAACACAAGTTATCAATTAAACAGCAGTAATTCGACCAGTCAAAGGAAGGTTAAAAAAAAAAGTATGTACATAGAAGACATATAAAAACTAAAGAAAAAATTTTAAATTATCATTGTAGAATAAATTAAATGAAAAATGTAAGAGAGCATTTCAAGTACACATAACCACATATATATATATATACACTGTCCACACACACACACACACACATACAGGAAAGTATGCATGAATTATTGTACAATTGACAGTTGATTTGATTTTTTTTTCTCATGATTAAAAATGATTATTATTATTATTAGTATACAAATAAATTTATTTTTTTTTTGAAAAAAACAACAACGTATCCGATGCAATAATGAAAAAAAATCATGATCAAATGCCTGAATCCACCATATTCATTGACATTCATTCATCGTACGACGACCATCATCATCAAGAGATAGATAGACAGGGGATATAATTGAAAGGAAAAAAAATTCCTCTTCTCAACACACTATACTGCATTAAAATAGATTACACCTAGTAGTAGTGGTAAAGTAAGTGATCAATAGGCAGACAGATCAATAGATAGGAAGGATAATAACTATTTAAATAAAATTGAACTGACAACAGTTCACACAGAAACACACCCACAGTTGAAAGAGACACACATACACACACCAGGTAATAATCAACGGCGACAACAATGACATGATTAGATTAGTTTTATGAAAGCATTGAAAAAAGCACTTTTCCTAGTAGTATAAGTTTTGTTCAAAAAAGGGGTACAAAAAAGAAATAACAATCAACCGTAATAGGCAATACACACAGAACTACTATAATAATAATAATCATTCATCATCATCTCATCGATTGGCCAATACAAATTGATACGTTCTCTCAGCTAATTCAATTAAAACTTCATAAATATGCGGTGATAATGATACACGATAAACATCGGTAATTTTATTCTCATGATGATGATGATGATGGTGATTTTTTATTGGTGTAGTAGTAGAACTGTTATTATTGTTATGAGTATTACTGTGAGTATTACATGTGGAATGAGATGCGTCATTCATGTTATCATGATGATGATGAGTAGTAGTATTGGCATTCGTAGTAGTAGTAGTAGTGGAAGTAGTATCATTATGCATATGATGAGTTGTTCGATGGGTTGCAGTTAATTGATGTTTGCAATGAATGAATGCATCAAATAAATAATAAGCTAATTGAGCAAATTCACGACTAAGTGATTTACAACTTGCTTTACGTGCATCTGTTTCATATAATTGATCTAATTGTTTCAATTCATTCGGAGATAATGGAGACTAATGCCACAGAGAGCAGACCGATTGATTGTCATAAAGCAGAAGAAGAAGAAGACGAAGACATGGGAGAGAGAAAACAAACACAAACAATACAAGTAAACATCACATCCATTGATTATACATAATGAAATAAGTTTATATAAAGGGTGAGTCAGTCAGCTATAACGTACGTATATGTTGAGGACGTTAGATCCTCAGAACTCACTTGGAAAAAGTCCTAATTTTGAATTTTTTTTATGTTTTGGCGCATAAGTTGCTCAGTTGACCTTGAGATTACATTTCTGTTGGAGATGTTAGATCCCCGAAATTCGCTTGATAAATGCCTTATTTCGGTTTTCACGTTTGCCAACATGGGCTGATCAGTTGACCTTGAGACTTCAATTCCCATCAGGAAAATCCATGGCTGTGATTGGCTGCTGTGCATTTTAGTGTGCTAGTTTATTAACTGTCTCAAGGACGTTTCTATGTTGTATAAATAAACGAGAGTTGTATGCTTGATTGTACAGTGTTTGTAGAATATACTTTCTACGCTTACAAAGCCTTTTTACTTCAGCCTCGGATTCAAGGTAGCCTACCTGGACGCTAGTAAAAGTCTCGTTCGCGTTTATCAACTAAGGTAAACTCGTAATAGCCTCAAGCATACTAGTGACGAACCGTACAATTTCCCACCTGGAAAATCCTTCACTCTCATTGGTTGATGTTTTATTTTAATAAGCTATTTTGTGGCTCTCCCAAGGAAGTTTCTATCATGTATAAATAAATAAGCTTGATTTGTGTGCTTAGACACCTGGAATTTTCTGCATGAATGTAGAATAAAAATTTCTACGCTTTATCAAAACTTCTTGATATAATTAGCCAGGCCGAGGAAAAACGGATTAGAATAGTTTATCGTGTTACTGTATCATTTATGTTCGCTCCGTTTACCGAGTAAGGTGAACTCGTGATAGCATTCAAGCATATCAGACAGCTATAACGTAGAACTCAGTACGTCGTAGGTATATCAGTTCAAATTGCCATACCATATTAACACACAGAGATCAAATTTTTAATATAAATTCTATATCAGGAAAAGTAGTAGCAGCATTTGCAGTAATCGAAAAGACTAGGGTTAAAAGATATCGTGCAAAAAGTAAATTTAAAAAGAGAAAAATAAAACGGTCATGAGGAATTCAAAAGAATTAGAATTTGAGACAAGACAAAGAATGGATGAATCTTCACCGTTGCAAACGATTTTGAGCCATATCATTAAAAAGTCTTTAATTATCGGTTACCATAGTCTCGCTCACCCAAACCACATAGACTGTAGTGAAGGAGAACACAGGTGAGGGCAACCGAATTGTATTTATCGCAAATTACAGAGTTACTCAGTAAAATAGGAAAACCATATCGTAAACGGTTAATTTGCAAATCTTCAATCCATCATCAATCCATTGTCTGACATTTCACTTATTCATGCGTTTCATACATATTCCATTGTGTTCCCACTCTTCCTTTCTTGATCTTCCCCCATCTACTGGTACCAGACATTACGTTTTTACTCGCGTCATATACTACTTATAAGTAGCGCGCACCACAAGACTACATCTACTAATAAGGTTCAGTTCAACTATTAGTGACTTCATGGATTGATGCATATGTTTTGATTTGGCAATTACCTCAAAAATTGTCATCACTAATGTGAGCATATGACGAACGTCATCAATAGACTACTACTAAACATTTGTATACAAAACAAAGAAACAATCTGTCAGTGTTTTCTGCTTTAACAAAGGTTGCGCAGCTACAGACAGTTCGTGATGTAAAGTATCGCCATCATATATAGTGTATATATGGTAGACAGATAAAGATAACTTTTGTACATAGAGTCTAGAGTGTTAATTCTAATAACTGGAGCTCCCCTTAGTCAATCCAATCACTTATTCTATCTAATCTAAATACTAAAATAAAAATTCAAAAAATGATCAATAGCTCATTGAATAAGACATTGAATTCATCATACTGATCACCTAGTGGAACGGAATGACTCCAATATATGTATAAATATGTCTGCCCTATTTATGGGAATACTAAATGTCTAACGGATTATTTTCATCTTTTATAAATATTTTATATGTATGTATAGATAAATATTAATTTTTTTTCTCCAAATTTCAGAGTTTGACAAACTATTCAATTGTATAGTGTTTTATTCAGGCCTTATCAATTCAATAAAACATCAAGCTTTGATGATTGATTTTGCTGACTTACCTAGATCGGAATTAGATAAAATGGTATATATTTTACAGTGTGTTGAATTAAATTTTTATTTAAAAAAAAAATCTGTTTTATTTTTTGATATATAATATAATCATAGGTAATATTTGCTTTTACAACAAGTCATGAATAACACATGATGTTGATGATTGTAAAATCAGATCAAGGTATATAAGCTCAAATATGTGATTTGAGATAGCACAATGAATGCACAAAATGATAGTTTTTCAAACTCCAAATCAAAGTGAAGGCAACACAGCTCAACTGTAATCAATTCTGTGTTGCGCTGCGTCACATAATGTTGCAAAATCAATGGTTAGAATTATTTTGCATGGACATTCATTAGTTGATCTGAAGAAACTAACCTACTTCTATATAAGACGCCTCAGTTTGACAGTCGCGTTGCGTATGACCAAACACCGACTGCCTCGTTGAGCTTTGTTTTGTAGTGTAGGAATAGGTTGGAAGAAAGCTAGGGGCGGCCAAACCAAAACATGGCAGAAATCCATGAAGTCATTGACGAGTGGACTTAGCCATGTCGGTAATTATCGACTACCTGGTTGGGGTCCGCGAGATGATAATAATCGATGGTTAGAGACCTTGAATGACATGGCTCAAAATCGTTCGCAATGGCGCAGGTGCATTTATTCTTTGTGTTCTCTCAAATCCTAATCTTCTGGATTCTTCAACAACTCTAGTTTTGACTTTCTAAACTTTTCTCATTGAATCATACTTCTTGAATAATATCTTCTAATCCTAACCTCTCCGATTACTCCTAATACCTTTACTACCTCTACTACTATTGGATTTGAATTGACAATTACATCTCTGTGCTGATGTGGTATGGCGACATGAACTGATGTACTTACGTACGAAGTTCTACGTTGCATCTGACTGACTGACTGACTGAGTTTGACAGTCAGTGTGACTTGCTCTCGGTTTTCTTCCAACTTATTTACTTACTACACAGATAAATATTATATGTACGGAGAAACAGGGTGGTTGTGTACAATTAATACACGTGTAAAAAACCATAGAAATCAATGAAAATTCATCAGATAATATCAGATGATATACCATATTTGTTCAGTATGTTGTGTCAAATCTTTGCATCGCTCAATATTCAGAACGGAACAGACTATCTGTGGTATGATAAATCAATTATTCGCCCAAATTATTCTTACACAATATTTGAATGATTATCATTGAGCAATTAACATATATTTAATTATATCATGATTTCAATGCAAGATGTATTGGAAGTAAAATCAATCAGAAATTAAATCACGCTCATTGTTTCAATCTGTTAAGCAGTCATATACATATGTGGAATGTTTCATTTTGCTGCATACCATGTTAATAGAGCAGGATAAAATTATATCAGAGTAGCAGACTTGCTCTGCATACTACTCACAGGACAGGTTGCGAGTAGTATCCAACAAAAGAAGTAGTAATAAGAAAGATTAGATATTCAAGAAGAAGAAGAAGAAAAATAGTTAAAAGCCGATTTTGAGACTCGAGGTTCTGTAGGGAAGACAAATGATGAATAGTTATTTTGTAACAATGAGAAATTAGATTTGTAGAAACTGTTGAATTCTCTCATCATGAACTAATCTGAATGAGAGTTGCAGATGAGTACCATTGAAGAACCACCCAATATATTGTAGTTTATAATGGTTGTCAAACTAACATAATTTCATTATACGGTGGTTGTGGAGAATGTGAACTTTTATTGTCATGATGAATTGATCATTGTTAGACCACCATTAAAAAACCTTTTCGCCCTATTATAGGACCCATAAACAGTGTGAACCAATGACCCTCGCAAGCAGAGATCCAAACCAAAGATCTTCGATCTTGAGGGAGGAAGTTTAACTTTTAGACCACTGACACGGCAACCAACAGTGTTAATGTCTAACATTGACCAATCGAAGGTATTACACAGGACACTGCGCGAGACCGAAGGTCTTCGATTCTATTCCCATAAGCTGGGTTCGAGGACGTGCACTGCTGATGAGTCCCATATTAGGATGAAACCATTGTTCAGAGCTTGCCAGATTTCTTCTAATGGTTGTCTAACAATGATCGACTCCTCATTTCAATAGTAACATAATTACAGCATATATAAAACTATGATGAATTATCATTTACAACTTGAACAAAGCAAATAAAAATCAATTTCAACTAATTGCAATTTCAATTACTTTTTTAGTTATGTTGTATATTCATTCACTGAACACAAAATGTAATCAAATTAAATTTTAGAAAAAAATATATTCGATTTTAAACAACAATAACAACAACAAAAAACATATCCCAATAACTTACAGTAATAGGTATACGAAATTCATTTAATAATCTTGTTCGTAAATTCATAAATTGTTCCAATGATAAAAAACTATCAGCTTGTGTTTTCGGTGTTTCATTTAAACCGACAAGAGCTAATAAAGTTTTAGCTATTACAGCGAATGCCTATTAAGTATAATAATAAGTAAATAATAATGAAGAGAAAATATATTGTATTGTATATTTATGTGGTTGCAATGTTTGAAACAAGTCAGTAAAGTATTCTTGAGAGAATAAATAATTCCTAGTAGATTAAACCGCATACCGGCCAGCTTAATCGGCTGATGATGTTACCCTTGAGTTACTCAGGCCGCCAAAAACCTTGTGTAAGAATGAGATCTCTATGCAATGGAATGAGTGTAGAGGGGTAAGTAAGTAAGTAAGTAAGTAAGTAAGTAAGTAAGTAAGTAAGTAAGTAAGTAAGTAAGTAAGTAAGTAAGTAAGTAAGTAAGTAAGTAAGTAAGTAAGTAAGTAAGTAAGTAAGTAAGTAAGTAAGTAAGTAAGTAAGTAAGTAAGTAAGTAAGTAAGTAAGTAAGTAAGTAAGTAAGTAAGTAAGTAAGTAAGTAAGTAAGTAAGTAAGTAAGTAA